AAAGAAATGTGTCAGGAGAGGTCGTACAGGCAGACCTCCCCTCAGCTGGAGGAGGAAGAACAAAAAATAACAAAAAAAAATGAGAAGAAGTAAAAAAATATTTAAAAAAAAAAAAAAAAAGCAAATGACAAAAAGCAAAATGAGTTTATAACTCATCAGTGGGCAATAATCCAGTAAAAACAGAAATACATAAAACACAAAGCAAAGATAAGAAGAAGAAAAAAATATATATGTACACACATCAAGAAATAATCAGACAACATATATTAAAGGACGGTGAAGCTGATCAACCTGTCAGGTATATGAATGAATTTGGGGATTCAATTTAAATTTAAATTGCTTAACAATGAGTCTTTATGTTGCTTGTTTTGTCCAAAACTCAAACCTATTAAATGTATTATAATATGAAACTGAGTCAAACTTTGAGAGGCTGATAAATGATTTAGGGGCAGTATACCTGCCGTGTTTTTTGCACCCTCAAATTCATTGTTATCAATGCAGATGTGCAGCAGGTGCGCTCAAACGCCAGAGCAACACTGTGGTGGCTGTGTGTGATAAATATGGAGGAGAAGTTGATCATGTTCGTGCAGAGCTGTCAGAGTGTCACATCTGTCCCACAGACAACAGGCTGACACACTTATAAACAGCTCCTGGAAGAAGATCAGCTCTGCACTCTGGATTTCAGGTGAAAAGGCTGTAAAACGATGCTTGTTAAGGTTGCTTAGCAACCTCAGACGCAACCTGCTACCACGCTCTTAAAAGCTGGCTCAAAGAGTAGCACACAATGACTGACCTCATGTTTTCCAGGTGGTTTAAGACGCGGCATGTGTACGGCCCATTAAGCCACTGTAAGTCTCCAGTGCTCTGCTCTATGGTGACATGAAGCCGAAAATTCGGGTAATTTTGTGCCACTATAATCATGCTTTTTTGCTCAGAAAAGCATTATGCACCGCTGAGCGATTCTTTTAGGAATGAATGGGCCCCACCTCCAACCTGTATCCTCTTCTCTTTATATATCTATGAAGCTGTTGTGTCATCCATCTTTATGTACAATCTGATGATAAGCTCAAAAATACTGGATCTCAATCTCAGCTCATCTGCATCTACTTTGTAAATTAATTTATTCATTTTCCGTAACCTTTTATCCAGTTGGGGGTCACGGGGGGGTGGAGCCTATCCTAGCCGACATTGGGCAGGAGGTGAGGTTCACCCTGGACAGGTCACCAGACTATCACAGGGCTGACACATAGAGACAGACAACCATTCACACTCACATTCACACCTACGGACAATTTAGAGTCACCAGTTAACCTGCATGTCTTTGGACTGTGGGAGGAAGCTGGAGCACCTGGAGGAAACCCACGCTGACACAGGGAGAACATGCAAACTCCACAGAGAAGGGCTCCCCCACCCTGGGTTCTGAACACTTATTAAAGGGATAGTTTGGGTTTTTGGACATGAAGTTCTGTGGGAATAAAAACATCGCCAGCTCCCAACTCCATCGGTTTCCTGTTACAGATGTAACCTGTAGGCAACAATATCTGTAACAGGAAACTGATGGAATTGGGAGCCGATGTTGAGCGATGTTTTTATTCCCACAGCTGGGGAAATCACAAGTTGGCACCATTTTGGTATTCCTCTGTTTACCTACAGCAGCTGACGAGGGTGTGTCGTGAGCCTGAGCCGGTGTTCGCGCTGTAGTAGTAGGTATATATAGGGCTAGTACATCTTCTTCCTCACTAATAATAGCCTACTGGTTCTCTGTTGGAAACAGCCAATAAAGTTTTCGTTAGCCGTTGCTATCCTGCGCACCTGCACGGCGCGATGATGAACTGTCTAATTGATTTCTGTTGCCGTGCTGTCTTGCGGGCCTGCACGGCGGAGTGATACTGGCCAGAAAATAGTCCCAATTGATAGCAAGGTCTGACGTAATGCGGGGATGTTTTAAAATTATTGTAACAGTCTAACAAAACACATGCATACTTTTTTGTAGCTTAAAACCTTTTGGTTACGTGTCCCCGGTACATCTTCAGAACTACTTTTTCTCCGGTAAGCTACGGGCCATTTCTCAGAGCAGGAGGCTTGTTGACAGTAGTGACACCGTCACATCAGAGCTACAGATGGTAAGCGTTTCACAAAACTTCATGTCCAAAAACCTGAACTATCCCTTTAAGGATGTAACATCATTCGTGGGGCGCACATTCGTAGGATATCATACGGACAGTTCCATGAGAACGCATTGAATATTAATTATAATAATAACTAATAATGATAATATTTTAATAAACTGACATCATATCAGACAGAATGTGAGTGTGTCTGTGACTTCCTGTACAGACTGAAGGCTCCTGGCAACTGTCGGGAAACTGTCCGACTTCACCGCAGCTTTGTGCCTGATGCTGTCCATTTTCCAGGTGAGGCGCAGTCCATCTCAAATGAGCCTAATGTGAGGACATGTTATGCGTGCGACCCACCGTGGACGGCTTAAAAAGTAGCTGTTAACAGTTAGCGGCTAACACAAAGAAGAACAGTGGCTAAAAATGTCTTGTTTATAAAGGGCTGTCGACACGTATGTTATATGTCACAGCAGAGACCAACACTGTTGTGTAAAGCACCACGTCTTTTTTGATTCAGCAATGCTGGGATGTTCTGTAAAACCACACATTGGAGCAACATGATGCTGCTGTTGGTTGGCTCTGTGTGAAAATGCAAAGGCGGCATAAAGAAGGGACTTTGTAGCGGCTCTATTGCACCACCTCTGTGTACAAAGGGTTTATGACATCATTTCTATTTCCTTTTTTTTTTCCCAAAATAAGAGACAGCGCAGACAGTGTAGATACAAACAACATTTTAGACATTTTACAGTCAGGTTATAAAGCCTTTCATAGCACTGAATCTGCACTTTTAAAGGTTTTTAATGACCTGTTTTTAATGACTGACTCTGGTGATTCAGCCATTTTGGTGCTTTTAGATCACACTGTCGCTTTTGACACAGTTGACCACACAATTCTTTTATCCCGTTTGGAAAACTGCGTGGGTGTCAGGGGTACAGCCTTAGAATGGTTAAAGTCATACCTGTCCTAGAGATGCTTCTCTGTTAAACTGGACGACTCCACCTCATCCATTGCCCCTTTAGTTTGTGGAGTCCCCCAGGGATCAATTCTTGGGCCCATTCTTTTTTCTTTATACCTCCTTCCTCTTGGGCAAATTTTTAAAAAACATGGCATCTCTTACAACTTTTATGCAGATGACACACAGATTTACGTACCATTGAAAAAGAACCACTGTGGCTCCCTGACACCCCTGCTAGAGTGCCTAAATGACAACAAGGCTTGGTTGGCCCAATTTCTTTTAAATTTAAATGAAAGCAAAACTGAGGTAATCGTGTTTGGACCCAGTGGAGCCTCTGTTGACCCTTCCTTAGCTCTGGGCTCCCTCAGTCACTGTCTTAGAACGACAGTCACCAACCTTGGCGTCAAAATACAGATTTTAAACTCAACAAACAAATAAACGCTGTCATCAAATCCAGTTTTTATCATCTTCGGCCTTTAGCAAAAGTTAAATCTGTTTTATAGTTTAATGATTGTGAGCATTTAGACTCCTGTAATGCTCTTTATGCATGAATTAATCAAAATGCCCTGTTACACTTACAGTTAGTCCAGAACTCTGCGGCTCATCTTTTAACAGGAAGCAAGAAACACGAGCACATAACCCCCATTCTGGCCTCGCTGCACTGACTTCCTGTTCGTTTTAGGATTGATTTTAAAATTTTATTGTTTGTTTTAATATCTTTGAATGGACTGGCCCCTACGTACATTTCGGACCTCATTCAAATCTACACACCCTCGAGATTACTGAGGTCCACTGGTCAGCTCCAGCTCGTGGTCCCTAAGACCAGACTTAAAACCAGGGTCGACCGAGCTTTCTCTGTAGTCGCCCCTAAACTGTGGAACCCTCTCAGGTTAAAATAGTCAACACAATTGAAACTTTTAAGTCTCGTCTAAAGACTCACTTTTATTCTCTGGCTTTTAACGTAGCATGAGAGTTGTGTGGTCTTCTGTTGTCTTTTAATTTCTTTTAATGATTTTCTTAATGATTTTATTTGTTTTTATTTATTGTTTTTAATTTATTGCTCTTATTTGATATATTACTGTTTTAGTATTTTATGTAGTATTGGTTTTTAGTATTTTATTTCTGTTTCTGTGCAGCACTTTGGAAACCTCCGTTTGTAAAATGTGCTATATAAATAAAGTGGATTGGATTGAGTGTAGTAACGATTTCTATTTTTCTTTTGCCACTTCCTTCACCTCACTTTCTTTCCTCCCCGTTCCTCAGCACTGATTGGTTCCTTTCACTCTTTGTTCACTCATTTTGTATTTGTTTCTTTCAGATGCAAACCCATGTGTGTTTGCTCCCACCTGTTGTGTTTAACTACAAGTTGCTCAGTTTGAAAATAAATCTTTGTGTGCAAGAGGAAAGTTTCAGTGGCTGATGCTGCTGATCGATGCACATGATAATAGGCCTCTCCTCCTGAACACACAGTACAGCTAAAACTTCATGTGTAAAATTGGGGAAGTGACCCTTTAAAGCAGCATTTTATTTTCAGGCAGCAGAGAAATAAAAGACTCAGTTAATAAACTTCATGTGTAAACAATTGCTTTAAAACAATAAAACCAACATAATTTAAAAGAATAATCGTGCTTTATGTTCTGTGTGTGACAAACAGTAGCTGCAGTCTCGTGCAGTCTGATAAAAAGGATGTGTCTTTTTAAATATTTGCTCAGAAAACGATGGTTATCATCAGGTTGCCTGACAACTTGTGAAGCCGGTGGAGCCAGTCTGTTTGAACAACCACTGGGCAAATATTTTATCTGTAAAAGAACACATGGGTCATACAGCAGGTCGGAGGACACAGTCAGCTCTTGAAGAAACGTGTTTATTTTGGCCTCAGGTGGGAAACAGAAGGAGCGTAAAGGTGAGCGCGTGAGGCGCGCCGCTTCCTGTGACAGCCTGCGGGATTGCCCTGCGTTTCTTTTCTGCACAGTCTAAATATAAGTCGGTGACAAACAGTCCAAATACAGTAGCAACCCAACTGTGATGTGGGGGTGGTGCTGAGAGAACAGCTCCGTCTCCAAAAGTCTCCCCCCCGCACCTCCTCCCTCCATCCTCGCCCCCCACCCCTCTGTTGGATCCGTCAGGAGGAGAAGGACGCACACGGAGAGAGTCTCAGCTCCGCCGCTCCTCTGCCTGTTTTATCATGAAGAGACAAAACGCCCGGACTCTCGCCCTCATCATCAGCATCCTCACCTACCTGGTGGTCGGAGCGGCCGTGTTCGAGACCCTGGAGTCGAAGCAGGAGAAGAATCACAAGAGGAAGCTCGACGCCAGAAAGTACGAACTCATGCGCAAATACAACTTAACCAAAGAGAACTTCGAGGAGCTGGAGCACGTCGTGTTGCAGCTCAAACCTCACAAAGCGGGAGTGCAGTGGAAATTTGCGGGCTCCTTCTACTTCGCCATCACTGTGATAACGACCATAGGTGAGCAGGAGTTGGATTATTCACATGTTTAAAGCATGTTAGAGCGTGTTTCATTGAGAGGAGCTCGGTGCAGGGCCGCAGACAGGATCCTAGAGGAACTGAGCCCCCTTTGTTACAGTCTGTGCAGCTTTGCATCATGTGAGCTGTGATGGAAAAGTATTTTTACTCAGGTGCAGTTTGAGGTACTTGTACTTGAGTATTTTAATGTTTTCTGCTACTTTAGGGACTGTTCGTTACTTATGAGGGGGCAGGGTGGTGCAAAGAGGGGGCGGCATGTCAAAAAAAAAAGTAAGGCACTGATCTTTACTCAGAGGACGGGGTGGCTGGAGTGTTTGTTTGTTTGTTTGTTCTGACCCTCCTCAAGCTACAGTAAAAGTGTAACTGTAAGAAAACCCATGACCCTCCCTCCACTGTAAATGAGTTATTAGATTTTTAACACTTTCCCTTTGATGTTTGAAAGTTAAAAGTTAAACACGATTGAATCTTGGAGTTGAGAAAAGCCTCAGTTTTTTGGCCCTTGTCGTGCATGTGGGTTAGTTTGTGCAGACGGTTTATTTTCGGCCAAATTTAAAATAAGACGTAGAATAAAGTGATTTTGATGACATGTCACAACTTTAAACTCAGATTCGGTTATGTTTTTTTGCATTTTGTTTTTATTGTTTTACACTGATGGAAGCATTCGTCACACACGGTGTGTCCAGGGACCGTCAGAAATTTGAAACTCCAACAATAATTTCTGTTCTTCAGTTTCTGGCTGATAAATGGTCTAATTTTGGTGATGTCTAAAGCGAAGCCGTCCAAACCCTGGAAATAGTTTTCGGACACATCATGTGTAACGAACCATCAGTTAAACAAAACACAAACAAGTTTGAGCTTAAAATTGTGAGATATTTATTCAAAATCACTTAACTGTCATTTAGAATTTGACCAAAAATAAATCATTTGCCCAAAGGGACTGCTCTTTATTTATCATGATAAATAATGAGCAGTCCCTTTGGGCAAATGATTTATTTGCACAAAATAAATCATTTGCAATCATCTGCAGCCAACCCTCTGCTGCAATGTGTCTTTGCTTTTATTTTTCTTTGTTTGTTTGTTTTTTTATTATTTTGATCCTCCTGGAGCTCCAAATATTTTTCCATGACCCTCCCTCCACCATAAATGAGTTATTCGATTTTTAAAACTTACCCTTTAATGTTTGAAAGTTAAAAGTTGAAGATGAAATCCTGGAGTTGGAAAAAGTCTCAGTTTTTAACTCTCGTCATGCAAACGGTTTATATTTGGCCAAACGTTAAATGAGCCGTAGAATAAAGTTGAAAAATCACTATTTTATGCTCACATTTGGTTATGGTTTTTTTATCTGACAGAAGTGTTTGTTTGAAGGCATGTTTTCTTCTTTCCATTTTTACACAGAACCAAACAACGCCAGCATCATGTCGCTTCTGTGTGTGATTTTACACAGCTTTGGTTTGTTTTTTGTTTTTTGTTTTCTGACAAACGCATTTGTTGCATACAATCTGTCCGAAGACCATCAGAAATTAGAAGTTTGTTTGACTAGACTAGAGGCATCAGGCACTGATGACGACACAGTTCTTTCCTAAGATCAAATGAAACAAGATGCAACAGATTAATGCAATGATGAACTATTTATCTATAACAAAAATAAACAACTGTGCAACAGCAGTAGAAATAGTGTGAAATACCTCCACACAGCAGATTCTCTCCTTCGCTCCATGACGTGTGACGTAGCTCGTGTCACAATAGATTTGAAGGGAAAGGATCTCCTCAGGTACAGGTTGCGTTTTCCGATACCTGATCCATCTATTTTGATGATATCGCGCCGATATTCGATCCAGATATCGGATCGGTGGATCCTTAGTTTCAATAACTGCAAAATCTGCAAAACATACGGACACATATGGATGAGATGTGGCTGTGTATGTATGGTTTATGATTAATACTTTACAAAGAAACCAAATAAAAAATAGATTTAAAAAAAAATAAATTTTAAATCTAATAATAATCTTTGTTTTTACAGTTTCTGGCTGATAAGTGGCGTCATTTTGATGATTTTAAATATATTTTCAGTTGCCAGAGGGACTCCGTAGAGCTAGAGAGAGGATGGAGCTATCTGCTAAGATACTCCTCTTCTTCCTCGTCCATTCTGTAAAGAGTTGGGTCGAGGGCTTCTGTGGCTCGACATCTATTTTACCTGCCGTTGTCACAATCTAGAGAGTTTATTCTTGGATGTACAGTGAAGGTGACCGTACCAGACAGGAAGGTGAAACGTTAAAACACTCTCACACTAATTCTAAAATCTGCTTACTCACACTAAGGCTACTGAGTTTCCTAAGAAGAAGATCAACATCAAAGGTAAGTTTTAAAAACCTAATAACTCATTTATGGTGGAGGGAGGGTCGTGGACTTTCCTCTGGTCACTCAGGGAGGGTCAAGGAAAAATACTTGGAGCTTCAGGGAAGATAAAATCTTATCTAGAAGTAAAGAACAGTCCCTAATTACTTGTACTCCACTACAATTCAGAGCAGAGGTGTAAATTGAAGAGGGGACACAGGGAACATGTTTCCCCTAAATATTTAGAATAGTGGTTGATTTTGGGGCGAACTGTCCCTGTAATGTTTATTTTTTTAAACTAACACTTCTGTAATGTTGTAGTTTTGTTTTTGTTAAAACAAGTGTGACGGAACTTTATCATAACAATGCAGCACTGAGATACATTATATCACAGTGCACCTTAAAACCAGTATATCGCTGCAACTCCAGTGAGAACAAGTTGGAAACGAATCAATTTATTGCACACTTTTTAAGTAACATACATTTTAATGTTTGGGTTTGGGGTTAAGGTATCAAGTCATTTCAAGTCAAAGGGCTCAGGTCCAAGTGAAGTCATGAGTCATTGGTGTTAAAGTCGAGCTGCAAATTTTCTCAGGCTGTGACTCAAGTCCAAGTCATGTGACGTCACAGGTCCACACCTCTGCTGCTTTGTCTCCTCTTGTGTATAATCTATATATTTATCTGCAGCTTTAATTATATAAAAATATGTATCGCAAAACACGTGTATCACTTACTTTACCTTTAGTACACAGAGCTGCTGCCTGGAAATGACGTCTCCTTGTTTTGTTTGTTCAACATGAACCAATATTTGTCCAAACTAATGTTACGTAAAAGATTAAAAAAAACCAGTAAGGTGTTGATATGTTCATGTGTCGTCCCAAACACACAGTGAGAGATGTAATTCAGTTTTACTGAGCAGAAACAAGTTAAGGAATATTTTTCTGTTGCAGCAGACAGAAGATTTCTTCATCCAGATGGTTAAAAGAGTCTTTGAGGATGTTACAGCAGTTGGGGATTCAGATATTTGTTTTTCAGAAAATAGGATTCTTAACTCTGTGATTGGAAGGGTAACAAAAGGCCTGTGACAGGCACAAACTGAGGCTACGTCACCCCCATACGAAGCAAACAAACACCCCTCAGAAATGTCTAACTTGCATCTAAAAATAAGGTTTGCACAAAAGTTATTTCAACATTTTTACATTTATTTAATTGTTAGAAAATATTTGCTGCGAATTTCATCTCCTTGCACAAACGTCTAAATTCTGTTTGAAGGCATAAGTTCTTATTTTGGGTTAGTTATCGTATGGTTTCAGACAGCTTTTGGTTTCTTGTAAGGAACCATTTAAAGGTGCAGTGCCCGTGGCACAGGCAGTATAGGTGAATGCTGAGGACGCCATCATCCACAGGGGGCGCCACGAATGGGAAAAGGAAAAAAAATCAAAACGTTTATCTTTTACTATTTTTTAAATACAATTACTACTGTTATTTTCAAATATGACATGAGGCCACAACAACATAACTACACAGCAAAGCCTACTAAATAATAGAGAGGCCCTTTATCTGGGTTCCTGCCGTCCCCTGGGTCCCCCTGCCCACCTCGTTACACTTTACCTTCTCTCTGGGGGAGATGGGCGGAGTTATCTGACGTCATGTGAACCCCGAAACACGCTGTATCATTATGTCAAAATGACAAAAGCTCTCCAACGCCCACTCAATGACCGATACACTAGAGAGGGAGTGAATGTGGAGAAAAAGAACATGACAGGACAGGAAGAGAGCTCTTTAAGTTAGCTGTTAGCAGTTAGCAGCTAGTTATCATTACCTCTAAGCAGCCGGTGGACACAACCAACAGCTCACAGAGGTTGCACAGATTTACAGTGTGAAGTGTTGAAGCTCGAGTGAAAATGAGTACTGGGTGAGGGTAAATTAAGACGTTCTCATGATGTGTTCAGTGTAATCTTGTAAAATGTAGCTTTTGGAGCGAAACTTGAATAAATCAGCTGTTGGAAGGAGAAATGTGTCGATGTTTTCACTGTAATATAAAATAGATATTAGAGATGGATTATGATGTATTATATATTGTGAAAAGGGTTTTTGCTGATTTTCAAAAGATGTTTTTCATATGAAAGAAGGTTGTGTTAAAGCGGGAGGATTGCCTAGGGCACCAAATGTGCCACTGGTCCAGTGTGTAAAATGTAGGGGGATTTACCAGGAGCTGAATTATTCACAGGTCACTCCCCCCTGAACAAAAGGGACCAGGTGATTTGAACCACTGAAACTGTGGTTGCAACAGACGACACTTCTAACATGGGTGTCGACATTCAGTTAGCGGGATACCTGCATGTGAAGTGTTTTGCTCACAAGCTTAATCTGCCCCCTCAGAGGGTGTTAAATCTGCCCACAGTTCAGTCTGTCAGGTTTATGCAGCATTTCTGACAGGTGTTATGACGCTGTTGGTCAGTCTGTCTGCTCTGTGTCACATTTTGCTGCAGAAGTGAACAGACTGAAAGCACTACCTCAGGAGGTAAAACTGATGTTGACAGAGTTTTCCTTTGGGGAAATAATTTGCAATTAGAAAAAAAGGTAATATATTGCAATATATTTGATCGCAATCCTCAGCATATTGTCATAATGTCAAATTGTGAACTAAGCATGGTGAAAACATTGTATCATGGATCCTCTGGCGATTTCCACCCCGATTAGAAAACGTATCCATTTCTGTTCTGACTTGTGGCATATTTGTGGGTTGTTTGTCCGTGACTCAGTGTTGTTGCTGCCTCTCTGTGCCAAGACCCCCTAGAAATAATTTATTTGAATAACTGTATTTCCATGAGGCTTTCCTGGATAAATAAATTAATAAATCAAATGCCAGAAATATAATTTTGGTGGGAAAAAATAGATTCTGTCATTTATTTTTCTTTCTTTGGTTTAAAACAGTCAAATCTAAAAATACTGAGTAAAAAAAAATCAGAATCAGCCTCTAAAAAAACACCAGGTGTAATTTGTGTAATTGTAAAATGGATTTAGTGGGAGTGTGTGTTTGTTTCCTGTGGATTTAACTCAAACAACAACTTTGAAATAATCATTCTATTATCAGAGTTTGATGTCAGGCGGCCTCTCCAAATCACAGCTTCTCAGACAACATATAAAAACACGGACACGCTGTCTGAACCCTGTGATGTCTTCTCCTTCAGGTTACGGCCATGCAGCGCCCAGCACCGACTCAGGGAAAGTGTTCTGCATGTTCTACGCCCTCCTGGGGATCCCGCTCACGCTGGTCATGTTCCAGAGCCTGGGTGAGCGGATCAACACGTTCGTCAGGTACCTGCTGCACCAAGCCAAGAAGTGCCTGGGAATGCGTCACACCGAGGTCTCCATGGCAAACATGGTGACAGTGGGCTTCTTCTCCTGCATGAGCACCCTGTGCGTGGGGGCCGTGGCGTTCTCCCACTGCGAGGGATGGAGCTTCCTCCATGCCTTCTACTACTGCTTCATCACGCTCACCACCATCGGGTTCGGAGACTACGTGGCTCTGCAGAGGGACGACGCGCTGCAGAACGACCCTCGGTACGTGGCTTTCTGCTTCGTCTACATCCTGATGGGGCTGACGGTGATCGGAGCATTCCTGAACCTGGTGGTGCTTCGCTTCCTGACCATGAACACCGAGGACGAGCGCAGGGACGCCAAGCAGAGGGCCCTGATGTCCATCAGTAAGCCCAGAGGAGAGGTGGCTCATCTTCTGCCGGTGTCAGCCTCGGCCTCTTCCACGCCTGTAGCCGACGACCCAACAAAGGGGAAGGATTTAAAAGGTGTCTACACGGAGGTGCTGCACTTCCAGACTATATGCTCCTGCCTGTGGTACAGGAGCAAGGAGAAGGAGCAGGGCTCCATCCCCAACATGATCCCTCAAGAGCTGACGTTCTCTGATGCCTACATGCAGCAGAACAGTAACTGTTCTCACTACATGGAGCCTGGATCAACAGGCTGCGTTTGCAGTCCACGTCAGTGTTCAAGCATAAGCTCCATAACAACGGGTCTACACATTCTCTCCCCGTTCAGGATGTTTAAGAGACGCAGCTCCGTATAGACTTTCAGTACTGCAGATTCACTACAGCACAATGTGTCTATACTGCCAAGTGGACGGCAGAGACTTGGCAGTCCTCACAGCAAAGACATGACTGCAAGTTTGTGGTGCTATAATCCCAGCAAACATTAGGACGAATGCGGAAGGGAAGAGCACAGACAGTACTGTAAACAGTCTAACTCAAATATGTGTCTGAGACAGCGTCATATGCACGGCTTCAACTAAAAGGTCCTATGTAGGGGCGTCCCGTGTGACAGGGGAAGTCATCCATGTCACTACATGTGAACATGCCGCAGCGCACGAGGTGCGGCAGATCAGGTGCTGCACGAGGATGGTCACAAGTTAGCATTATCACGATGAACATGTTGAGATAAAATACCTGAGACAACAGCTCCACAGTAAACTACAATTTCAGTGTTTTTGATAATAATCTCAGAGGTGCTGATTCAACACAGGGGTCATTTCTTAAAGGTCAACAAGCAGGATTGTTGGTTACAGTTTGTTAACACACTCGCCATTGAGAGTGACAGTAAACGCCCCAGATTCATTTTCCCTTGGTGTGTCGCCTGACTGTATTTGAGTTTTTTCAGCACTTTGTCTCAAGGATGTTAGTGTGTCTCCCCGGATGCAGATTGTGGCTCCCAGGCCTTATTTATACTCAAAGTTGAGATGGAGGCAGACGGAGCCTTCTGTCCGTATTCTGCGCTCATTTCATCCATATTTGTGAACGTTTCCTGGAAGCTTGCAGATACAGATGAAAAAGAGCAGCAGCACCAGATATCGTGGGGATTCTCCGTCCACATGTTGCGATGAAACGTTATATGGCCTCACAGACCGTCTACAACGCTGCCTCCATTTAACGATACAATATTACACCTCCACTACTGTCGCCTCGTTTGTTGTCTGAAACTTTTGACTCCGCCTCCTAGTGCCATCTATTGGCTGTATCGGTGCCAACATAAAGGACACGTGGAAGTATGAAGTCTTACAATGTGTTTTCATATGTAAAGAGAGAATAAATGAGCCTTAAGTCTGCCACCTGCTGACTATTTCGCCTCGCATTCTCACTTCCTTCCACTATCTACATTATTTAAAATCCCCTGTGCCACGGTAAACAACAACAACCTCCGAGCTGTCAACTTCCGCATTGAAAATTGCACGTTTTGACCAATTTTGGGTCATGAAATAAGGCATGCCTGCTTTGTTCTTTTGGAAAATTATTGTGAAGATGTACAGTGAATCAGACAACTCGTGAACGCTCCTCAGAGAAGCCCAGACTCCGTCTCATGCCTGATGTTGATCTGTTTCCAGACACAGTCAGTCGGAGTTGCCACACTTTCAAAATGTGTGCAGTCAAATGAGACCTGAATACGAAACTTTTTGTGCCAGGGGTTTGATCTCGGCCCGCCTCAACTCCCCACCGAATCAGCAAACTTTCCAGAAAATCTGTGTGGTTTGCATGAGCTAACACAGCAGCAGCGCTAACACTCAACACTGAATCATTAAATGATCCAAACAAACTCACATTGACACTGAAACTCTGTCGTTAAACCCCTTAAAAACGTAACGTTAGCCATGTGATGCTAACACTTAGCCCTGTCACTGTGTGTGTATTTTGCAAGGGCACTGCATCCTGCACTTAGCTCCGCCCAGGACAATCGTTAATCAAAAACAAGCCAGAGCATTTTCCCTCCTGTAGCAGAATGATAATATGGTGACACCAGACCTTTCTCAAGCGCAGACACAGCGCTGTGAAGTCAGGCCACGCATGACTACTTGGAGGCCTGCTGCCTTCAGTCTGGTACCTGGTCGCTACCTTTCCATAAAGCCCCGACCTCAACTGAGCGCTGTGGGGGAACACGCCAATAAACGTCCCGGACATGGAAAATAAAAAGCAAAAAGAAAATCCAAGCAGAGAGCAGCCACACTGAGAGTGAGTCATACATGATGATTGAGACAGACATGACCTCTGTGCGAGACTACACATTGTTTTTTAGGAAAATCCTGCAGAGTGAAACTTTAAAGTTGTAGTTTGTGGTGTTTCTAGATGTTTCCCTTCAGAGTGTTTGTGACTGATGCAGCTCCGACTCAAAGTTGACTAGTGTTGCCCTGAAACTTTCTAACAAACTCATCAGAGCTGCGTTGAAGCTGACACCTGCTCAGGAACTCAATATGACTCATTTTCTGTGTTGCTGCCTCTGTTATTGTGCTGGTGCATCAGTCACACACCTGCTGCATTACATAACGCCACAAGTGGAAAAGTTCAAACAACCATGATGACATATCTCTAACACAGTTTTGTACTGTGATGACAGGTACACACTCTGAACACACACTTCACTGGATTTGTGTAACGACACGACGAAGCTCGTGAGTCTACATCAGCATCTCTGACACTCAGCTGAACCTTTGACCTGAGCAGCCTGGTGTTCACTGCAGCGTTACTGTACTGTGAGGTGTGTCTGATTGTTGGGTACATTAGTCACCGTTTGACTCTGCTGGGTCCAGAAGTCGGTCCAGAGCAGGTACTGTTCTCCTTCATGGTGTTTCCACTGTGGTGCTTCTGTCAGTCCTTCAGGAACCAGAGCAGATACTCACCAATCATCCAGGTACTTGTGACTTACAGTTTGTGCACTATTAAAGGAGTACTTCAACAGTTTTGGAAAATATGCACATGGAGCCGGAGCTAGGAAACAATTAGTTTGTCAGGCTGGACTCGAACCCTTCACCTTGTACATGGGGCGCCTGCTCTACCACTAAGCCACCGACGCCCCACAAGTTATCTTTTTTAGTTGATTTCTGTTTGTGTGCTGATTTAAGATGAGACATGTTAATTATTAAACTTTAGAGAAGACAGATTTTTACTTTGGACAGAGCTAGCCCAGCTAATTTAGGTTGTAAAAACATTCTGAATGCCAAATCACACCGGTGGTGAATGGCGCACGTCAAAAAATACGCAGCTATTATTTTCTATGTATATCCCCGCACCGGTGGTGGTTAGACTCGTCGGTGCTCCTGAATGCACCACTTCACAACACTATTCTATTTCCAGCCTTGCCGCCCCCAGTATTAAATGCATTCCCACTCACTCTCTGCTGGTACTCACCAGCTCCCGTAGCAGCTCCTTTTCTCTGCTCCTATGGCAGCTCAACTCCTCTCCTCTCCATGGATGCATTAAGAGAACTCTGTAGCTGCTGCTGTGTTTCGTGTGTGATGAAGAAAGGATGAGGAGGGACTTCTTGTTGAGGTCGAGAAATATCCCGAGCTAAACGACCCCCTAATCCCGTCATTATAAAGACGATGGCCACAAAGATACTTTGCCATTTAGACTCTGAATAAATAAACTGTTGTTTGTCAACAGTAAGCAAGCATGAATCACAAGTTAGCTTTTTTAAATGCTTCCTGTTTGTGTGCTGATTTAAAACGAGACATGTTAATTATTGAACTTTTGCAGAGGCAGATTTTTAGCTAGCCCAGCTAACAATTTCTGGTCTGAAAAAAATTTGAGGAATGTTCTAATGTAATGTTGTGGTAATGTTTTCTTTTAGTTCCCAGAACATTCTTCTAAAAGCAGAGTAACGTTCTCTGAAACCATCCTGAAAAATATTTGGTGATAACCATTGCTTTTTTGGGGGGGTCTTTTTTTTTTTTGTTAAAGATATTTTTTGGGCTTTTTTAGCCTTTAATGTATAGGACAGACAAGTGTGAAGGGGGGAGAGAGAGAGGGGGAGTGACATGCAGCAAAGGGCCACAGGCTGGAGTCGAACCCGGGCCGCTGCGGCAACAGCCTTGTACATGGGGCGCCTGCTCTACCACTAAGCCACTGACGCCCCGATAACCATTGTTATAATATCCCAGACAGAATTTTGTGGTTCCCAACACGTTCTGAGAACGTTACAATGCAGTGCTCCAGTGTTATTTTCAGCGAGAAGTTTTCTTTTAGTTCCCAGAGTGTTCTTCTTAAAGGTAGGGTAACGTTCTCTAAAAACATCCCAAAAATGTTTGGTGATAATCTTATTAAAAAATAAAATAAAATAACAATGTTACAGCTAGCTGTTTCACCCTGCTTCCGGTCTTAATGCTAAGCTAGGCTAACCTAGCTTCCCGGCTCCAGCTCCATAGGCTAGGTCAGTGGTTCCCAACTGGTGGTTCACAGTCCAAAAGTGGGTCGCAGGTCCATTCTGAATGAGTGACTCATGAATGTGTCAAGTTTTTTTAACTTAGTACTTAACGTACAGTGAATTTCCAGCATAAGCTTTTATTTTGAAGTGCCGTTTCCTGTTGCAGAGTGAGTGAATAACAGACAGCTACTTAACAGAGACAGCAAACTGGCTTCACGACATTACCAAACACATGTATGACGGACCAGTTGGGAACCACTGATCGAGGCTTCTTAACAGACACGAGAGTGATATCAATTTTCTCATCTACCTCTCGACAAGAAAACAAACGAGTGCATTCCCCAAAATGTTGATGAAGTCTTTTAAAGCTAACTGTCAGTCCCTCTAACCGTTAGCCTTCCATTAATAAACCTGTCATCACTTAACTTTGTGTTCCTTGTCAGAATTAGAAAATATGAGTTTGTGGTTCTTCTATCATGTTTTTGGACTGAATGCATACAACTATTTTATTTTATTTTATTTTATTTTATTTTTGGTTTTGTTTTGTTTTATTAGTTCAGTTTGGTGTTATTTTAGTTTTTTTTAAATCTTATTTTAGTTTAGTTTTTTATAGTTTAGTTTAGTTAAGTTTTAGTTTTAGTTTATTTTTTTAGTTTTAGTTTAGTTTAGTTTTTATTTATTTTTTTTAGTTTGGTTTAGTTTATTCTAGTTTAGTTTAATTTAGATTTATTTTATTTTTTTAGTTTAGATTTATTTTATTTTATTTTTTGTTCAGTTTAAATTTATTTTATTTTATTATTTTTTTGTTTAGTTTTGTAGTTTGGTGACATTTTATGTGATTAGTTCAGTTTGGTGTTATTTTAGTTTTTTTTAAATCTTATTTTAGTTTAGTTTTTTATAGTTTAGTTTAGTTACGTTTTAGTTTATTTTTTTTAGTTTAGTGTAATTTAGTTTTATTTTACTTTAGTTTTGTTTTATTTTATTTTAGTTACATGTAAGCTTAGTTTAGTGTAGTTTAATTTTATTTTACTTTAGTTTTTTTTTAATTTTAGTTTGGTTTAGTTTATTCTAGTTTAGTTTAATTTAGATTTATTTTATTTTTTTAGTTTAGATTTATTTTATTTTTTGTTCAGTTTAGATTTATTTTATTTTAGCTTAGTTTAGTTAAGTTTAGTTTAGATTTTTTTTTTATTGATTTTTAGTTTAGTTTGGTTTATCTCCAGAAGACATAGAAATGGCAAAATACAGTCAAAATTGTCAATACGTTTTAGATACTACAATTCAGTAATTATTCACCACACAAGTATGCAGTCAAAATTTAAATATAAAGTAATTGTTACACTCACAGCATGAACAACAGTTTCTAAGAGTGATCAACATTGTTGTAAATCAAAAATTTTTTTACAGCAGAACATTTCTAAGTCTCTTTTGTACAAAGACACAAAGGAATCCAGTAAAAGAACATTTTCATTCCATAAACAAACTTCATGACATTAATAGTTTGGTATTAGAGACATGATGGCGCCCCCATCCCACACAGAGTGACGTACGTTCACATTCTCTATAACAGGAAACACTGAACAACACAAAATCTGAGAGGATCAAAGTATTAACAGTTGATCACAGTAAATGTTTGGGGTGTGACTCTATTATATTTCTCTCCACTCTGCTCTGTTGACCTGAAGGACGATGAAGGTTCACAGACTCTTGAACACATCAGACATTCACAAGAGAAGCGTGCAGAGCCGTTTGAATCACATCTGGATCAAACAGCTCACGCAGAGTATTTTTTAGGAGCAGTTTGTGGTGGCAGATGGGAGGCGGCTTTCTGTGTTTGGACAATGGATAATAAGCTGGCTGTCAATCACAGATAATTACGCCACAAGAGACTCGGTCTCTGTGATTGATGGCAGAGGAAAAAAAAATCCACCCTCAGATACTATTCCTTGTATTTCTGAACCTATTCTTGGTGTTTAGTGGTGTATTTTTTCTGCAGGCGACACGATGTGACATCACGCAGAGATTATTTCTGGCAGCTGCACATGAGATCTTTAACCAGTTTTGGTGTCAAATAAAAAAGGAAGAGGTCTGACTTAAGTGCAAGGATAGAAGTCGTGTCAGCAAAATGCACTGGAAGCATCAAAAGTAAAAATTCTGTAAGAAAAAAAAAAAAAAAAAGTCCCTGTGAGTGTGATATTATTGTATGTAACAGTGTGAGGTTGTTGTGACTGATGCATTAACTGCTTTACATAGAGCTCAGTAGTCCAGTGGTTTCAAGCCATTCTGAGGGTTCATGTGATGATTAATGGGGCAGGAAATAAGACGAAAACAAAGTTCAGCTACATAAAGTTGTATTAATGTCCTAATATTTGCTTTTTGTGAACTAATTTAATTTATTTAGTCATCAGTCGTCGTTTAATTGAAGACATCTGAGCATTTATAAGAGTAATGCCTCTTTTGATAGAAGTGCTAACAACTCATACACGTCTCAAATGTGACAAGAGGCCTGAGGGATGTGGTTTTTGTTTGTTTGTTTGTTTGTTATTTTAAATGTCCCTGCAGCAGCGATAGACCGGAGGCATGTTTCCAGGTTGTCCATCCAGCTGTCCCATTCTTGTGAATGCAATATCTCAAAAAAAGCCATGAGTGAATTTCTTAAAATTTGGCACAAACATCAAATTGGACTCAACGATAAAATGATTTGAATTCTGTGATCAAAGGTCGAGGTCACTGTGACCTTGCATCTGTCTCATTCTTGTGAACACAACATCAAGAGCACCTTGAGGGAGTTTCCTCACATTTTAATGTATTTTAATTTATTTAATTATTATTATTATTATTATTATTATTTTGCAAGGGGTCACCAGCCACTTTAGCAGTTCTTTATATTTTATGTGAGATAAGATAAGATAATCCTTTATTCATCCCACAGCGGGGATATTTGCACAAGGTTGAATTGGAGGATGCAGACATCATTCTAGCAAGCTACGTGAGCGCTCTTCCATTTGAGCTTATCCTCCTTTAGGGATGTAAAGGATAATGTACAGGGAGCAGGTTGCAAAATAAACCACAGGCGTCCTGTATGATCAGATCCATGGCAACAGTCTGCTGCTCAGAAATACCAGACCGCAGAATGATGTAACTGAGTTTTCAACAAAGCTGTGTAATAAAAGCTTATTGTGTTTTAAATGACAAGTCTTAGAATGAAAATGAAAACGTTGGTTACGTCGTCACCAACCACTTTTCTTAGGACAATCCCCGTTGGAAAAGCAGTGACGGGGTGCTGAATCACAATCGGTAACAAAACCTGCTGGTCTCAAACGGTGGTCTGCAGCTTGGCAGATGTCTCGCTTAGATATTATGCCGCCCACCATCCTCCACAGTCAGCACATACACTGCGTCACAAGGGCGTCAGTTTCGTCTCAACATTGAGGGGCGCGGGGGGTTCAGGGGTCTGCAGGAAACTTTGAGCATCAGAAGTTTACTTTACTGCATTCTGGTGAATTTTCATCCACAAATTTATCATTGAAATGTCTTTTTTCAAAATAAAAGTTCTCTGCTACTTAAATGTTTTATGGGGGACAAATGCACCTGCTCTAAATATTCAAAGAGATGTGTCCTCTGCGTTCCCCCAAAATCTCCATCTTAAACATTATGATTTGTGTGAAAGTGCAAATGTAACAAATTTGTGGTTTGCAGAAACATACATTCCCAATATTCTGGTTACCAGGCTGATAAATCACAGGTCTGTGATATTCTGAATATCTGAAGGTGGATTTTTTTTCTTTCGGCTTTCACCAATTTGCCATGTTTGGTGAAAACACGTTTGAAGCATAACGGACATAAAAATGAGTGCCAAACAATATTTGATCAAGGTCTGGTGTCTCATTTATAAAACAATGCGTAGCATCCAAACTAAAAATGTGCATACAGACAAAAGCCAAAAATGCGCAGCAAAAAATATTCGACATTTTCTATAATCACTGCGTCACCAAGATCCTGTCTCCAAAATGTTTGTAATCATGGGTCAAAGTTTCTCCCACCAAGTCTGTTTGTTACATCACAACTTTTGTGTGAAAAGTGGCGTACGCCTCTTTCAGACCTCGTTTATAAATGAGACCCTGGTGTCTGCTGATAAACTGATCTCGTCTCTGTTCATGACACGGACCTGTTGTGATGAACATGTTGAAAAATAAGAGTACTGTCTGCACATGATAACAGTTGATGACGCTTCTGCTTTGACTTGCTTCTAACAAGAAGTGACCCAGAAAACATCAGCCTACTGTACATTATATTTAAGTACTGTATTAGTTTTAAAGTAGGACGACGTCTTGTTGCACCAGCATGAACAGGTTTCTCTGTTTCTAGCTTGGCAAAGAAAATTGTTTTTAAAGATGTCAGGGTACAAAGTCGTACTTGAACACACACAGAGTACTTGAAATAATTGTTAGAACATTTTTTAACTTGCCACGGGATGTATGTACAATTGGAATATTATTTTGTCTGACAAGTTTCAAACAATATTGTACTATTTGCTGAAGTAAAGAGAAGAACACCCACAGAAAACATTAAAAACGTGAATATTTTACCCAAAAACTGAGTGTTTGTGAGTTTTAATGTTGTTTTTCGTGACGTTCTGATCAGAAGATAACCACCTTAAATGACTTATGATTCACAGAGCAGGTGTATGAATTTCTTTATACCATGTAAGTGCTGTATAAGATGTGGTGGTGTGATTTTATCATCTCCATGCTGTTCATGAACATGTACAGTGTGAGAAGAGCCTGCTGAATGTATAGAAATGACTGTTTGGTCCAGATGGTGTCCCCCTGGGAATTCTGACTGAAGTCCAGTTCCGGACAACCTACAGCAGGTTAGTCACGAGCAGGAAAGTATGGCGGTGTCTCATTGTGTCACAGTTTGTAGCAGTATGTATATTTGTTACATGATCCAACTCATCGTCAGGTGGTGCAGCGAGCAGGGGGTGGACAAAATAGCAGAAACACTTTAAGACAGCAAAATTTGCTACAACTAAAGATACTCTGTGAAAGAAGATGCCACAT